GTAAACGAAAGATTTATGCAGGCGGAAAATTTACACCGGCAAGATTTAGCCACATGTCGATTTGCCACCTACATCACACATGTATGCGGAACCTAATCTGTTGTTTACGCGTTTTATTTATATGTATAATCCGTAATTTTGTGCTGTAATCTGATTTGCCTAAAACAAACTAAACACAGCGTTTCTATAACGGGGTGACCATTCTCTCCTATATAACGTTTCCAGACAGGCCATTGTCTTATTAGTGCATTAACGATTTCAATGGATACAATCCTGCTTGGGAATTGATAGACGCCAATTCTCAAACAAGAATTTGTTGTTGAACTTATAAAATAAACGAAATGCCCGCGTGTATTGAAATAAACTGCATTACTGCAAACACTTGCGGCCGCTTGAATGCTATTAAGCTTATCGCGGAAGATTAGAATGAAGATATTTGCACCTGTCCTTATTCATTCGCGGTAAGTTTTTGATTTTAGACTTCCTGCCAACTCCACTTAAAGATTGAATGGTTAAAGAAGGCAATAAAGAAAGTAATATGTGTTCAACGTGTAGGGCCTTATCAAAGCTTGTTAGCGATAAAATTTGCCGAAGAAAATATTCATTTGGTTAAGTTTTTAATATATAAAGATGCTCGTATATATTTTGCTAAGTCTGCACCCGCTATTGCGAAGAAGGTAAGCGTCCCAAGTTAGACGCATCCACATATAGCAAGGAATGTGAATATTATACCTATGCTTTGCTTTCAGTTATATATATGTAGTTTTTCAGCGAGATCATTTTCGACAACCAAAATTAGAAAACAATCGGTTACCTGCATATGCGTGCGTGATGATTGAAAAAAAATTCGCAAAAAAAACGTGTGAACATGCACGGTTATATAAACAGCCATCATTTTAGAAACTGAAGAAGCTTAAAAGCACGTTTCATGAAAATGCGGTCTCATGGTGATGCAGATATATGAACGCTATTACAGCTTTGGCCTTAAAATCTGTTTTAATCATATCTGGAGGACAATCACGGTGGGAAAAAGGAATTGTGGACCTTCATTAATTTACTTTACACAGATCAAACGAAAGATTGAAAGCCGAAACCACATTTAAAATGTGTGGTTGTGCTCCCCGAGTCAACACTAAGAGATTTAAATTGAAGGCGATCTACTTCTATTAATTGAAAGTTTGTTACCGTTTCATGTTTCTCATAGACGTGTTTATACTTTCTGTTTATCTCTGCACGTCAATGAATCACACACATATAGAGTATATGTGAAGTCCTCTGCTGAAGATATTTTCTCAGATAGACCGTGAAGTTGTCGTATAGCTCTAAAACCTGAATAAACTCTCTACCAAGGCGGACAACTCTCCATGAGACGTATATACGATAGCTTCACCTTTGGTGCAATACACGGTATGTATGCATGCATGCATGATAACGAACCAATGATTATATGTTCAAATTTGTGGGTTATAAGGACGCGTTTGTTATATTTTATAGATTCGTATGTTAATTCTCGGTACTTATACAGTCCTTCAACACGTTTATGAAGAATAGATTGCTTAAGTAGATTACTAAACTAAATTTGGAGTAAAAAAAAATACACTCACCGCCGCTATTGTGATAGTAATTTTGATATAGCAGTGCCTTATTTTTCAACTGAACACTCCATGTATATTATATATATCGTGCAGTTTTTAGGCGCAGGCGCATGGCGTGATGACTGCGTGCATACAGCAAGGTCTCCGTTTACTTTGTGTGAAAACAGTTTATGTTAAACTGTCAGATCCAGGGTGCTTATTTAGAAGTCATACAACAAAATTAGTTTATGAGTTTCGACCTCATGTTGACAAATAGTCCGGCGAAAGTCCGTCGCACAGGAGTCGTGTGGTAAGGGTGAGACTGATGTTGGCATGCGGGTATGCATCTTGTAGTGTCCCAAAAAAAGTTAAATTAAAAAGATAAAGTAATATACATTCGTATGGACAGACAGAGCTTCGTATCTGTGCAGTACATGCGCTGGTTAAAATTTATAAGAGAATAACAATAAGAAATTATGTTTCCGCAAACGCTGAAACGCGAGTCGTTTACACGCCTACACAGTTTGCTACAAGATCAAGTGCTTATAAGCTACAACCATGCATTTTGCCACCGGGAAATTAAACATCACCATACATGCAGAGTAAGCACCTTCAGAAACCAATATTTACATCAACTCAAATTGTAGAAGCAAATTAATCGCGGTTGCAAACGCCGGCTAGCATGAAATGCCGTTCATGGCTTGCGTCAAAAGTGTATAAAAAAAACACAACTGAAGTTTGCCTCCCTTTACACAAGGTTATGCACAAAGGCTTGTACCGCCGTCCCCCGAGCAGAGTGTATTTGATTGTTTGCCGGTATAAAAATATAAGATAAGTTAGATTAAAGTTATTTTGTGCGTGTTTATACAAGCTTATATAGATCTTTCTCAAAGTTACAAGATGCCATTGCTTTTGATAATATCGATTCAATTTACTGTCGAGAAGTTATGCAGTATAGTTAAGTAAATATCTAATTTACTGGTTATTTATAGCCGGGAATATATGATTGAGTGCCTCAAACTTCTGTGTTTGCAACAATCGATTCCAACAATCGAACAAGAATTTCACTTCACATAAAACCTTCCTTGAATATGGGTAAATATACTCTGTAGTACAGTGACAACCAAAGCTTTTTAGCACCTCCCGTGTAGCAACAGGTAGAATCCAGTCAATCCACGTGAATACTGGGCTTTTATATAGGTTATAGAGATTACATTTAACCTTCGATAGCCAGTGTCAACGACATATTAGGAATCGATTATTCCACATCTGCTTAGCCATAATAGCGTCTTTAACAGGATAAGAACGAAATCTTGTGATAAGTGGAGTAACTGAATTCATCAGTTTCCTCGTTACCGGCAACATATCTGAATTGCCACAGGGTGCGATGACCAGCCAAAATTCTGTCTCTTCAAAAGGTATTCCGACATGAACCTTTCAAACCAATCTGCCAGGGACCACATGCATTCTTTCGGATTGCCCATTATCGTCTTTCTCGTGCACTCATGGTCTAAGCTTCAGCTCTAGCAGCTAGCAGCTCTGTGTGTGTTTCGTGTGCGAATTTAGTTCGACTTGACACTTGACAGATCTAAGCTAAAAAGTATACAATAACCTCGACAATAACATCATTATCATTTTACGTTTTTCACAACATTTTATCTACACTTAAACCAATGGCTATCGGCTAGAACTATGGTGTATATTTGTTTGTTGATACATGGATACATCCCGTTTTCTAATTTGCGTGTCGTAGCTTGTTACATGTACATTAAATATTGGTTCTTGGTGACAGTATTGTATCGGATAGCCAATGGCCCATGCTATATGACCTTTCAAATGTCTGTTGCGAGATATACAGACAATAGAGGTTTTCTAGTGTGAAATAAATGGCAATCTAAATTATCTAATCATTGTTTGACGTTTACATGCAGAATATTCGGGTTCATCATAGGTATATTGCTACAAAACTGGGGAAACTCGTTGACACAGATGTCTCCTACATGAATAATCATATATATATATATACGCCTCCCAACACCATATTCAATGAATTTACAATTAGCGCTTGCGTACTGCGTACACTATAGAACTGATTTGACATTCAAGACGAGAGTGTTCGTGCGAAGGCGTTTTCTACACTGAAAACTTGTGTTGATTGAATCTGGAGGCAGTAAAACACCCTCCATCAATTCAATAACACTACGAACTGATTGAATTTTCATTGCTCTGCTTTTCCGAGCTAAAAAGGAGGAATTTTGCTGCCAAAATTAGGGCAGTTCTTACGAAAAGACGAATTCATATACACAAGGATTTCGTTGACGAAAAACCCTCCACGATGAATACAATCTTAAGTGTGCATTACGATGAACGTACTCGCAAGAACCTAGACAATAGCACAAGCAAGTTAGCACCCTGGCGTCAAACTCGATTCTTTCTAATTTGCAAACATATTTAGTCTCAAACGTGTAAACATCTCGTGTAGCTTTTTTCAAGTGCTAGTGTATGGAGTGTATAAAGGATTTCATTTCAATCGCTATAGACGATAAATTTGTTAAATTGCATGCAAAATGCCCCCTACATGTTTTTCTTTCTTATAATTCGTCAGCTAATGCCTGTAATCACTTGAGCCTACTGCGGCATTGTTATCCAATAGTTACACGATGAGATTAGCCCATTGTATACATGTCTTTCAGGCTTTGTCCGGTGCTATCGCGGCCTATCGAGCCGAAATTGCGCAGAAGTTTGCTTGAAAGACCGCAATTTTGCGCGTGGGGTGCTATGGTAATAGTCATCACCTAAAACGCCTATGTTTGCTAAACACTCGCTATTAGTCGCATAAATTGCTTGTCCTTCTGTCAGAAGGAGATCAAAAAAACCTTCCGCATGAATACCTGGCTTTTGCGCGTGCTGAAATTTGCGTCGAGCATGGCATAGCAACAGCGTTGGGTAATTTGCTGCTATTGTTTCGCTAGAATTGAATCACCGTCAGCGGTGCGTTTCAAGCAAGCCTAAAAACTGTTCGACACAACTGGCTTTCTGTTCACGGGTACGAGCAACGAGGACGATTTCTCTCTATTTTTAAAATCAAAACATTCTTGCGAACGATTTAATTGATCGTCGAGAGATCTAGTGAAGGTTTTCCTCTAAGGTCGTGGGTGTCAAATTGGAAAGTAATTAGACCTGATATCCTCGGTTGTGTACACATTAAGCGACGGCAGAGCTTTCAATCAATCCTTTTTTATTGCATATCAAACGAGGACAATAATTAACGCTGGCAAACAACCCTCTGGCATTAGTCGCAAACCTTCGTTCTGGCTCAATCTCCTGCATGGGACGTTTCGCACCACGGCGATAAATCGCTTCAAAAAGTGCCAATCTTTCGACAGTCTTATTTGGAAAGGCCGCCGCGGTCCTATATAGCTTATCTGTTTGTGGGCCGTTCTCGCGCTGTTAGCGTTGCATTTTAAATCGGGGATTCGTTTGGAATTGGGCTAACATACGGAGTTACTATGGATTTTGAAGTATTTGTTTCCTGTTAATAAATGCGACGAGAGGTTAGCTTTGATCATATTCTTCTACTAAATAGTGTAGACAGACGCAAGTATAATTAAAGGCTCGCGAATTACTGAAAACTCTGTTAGGCATTACGGCGTGATACATCGGGTAAGTTCCTTCCTATCCTTTTCGCGAAACGGTGTTCTGAGATTTCTTGATTCGTCGCTATCGTTTCAGTGCTAATTGCTGCAAATATTTCTCGGCAAATAAATTTGTACTGTAAGCAGATGCCGTAGTGGTTTCTCAAACTATTTGATTGAGACTCAAGCAGTTCGTTATTTGCAGAGAGAGTCGTCAATTCATCATTTAGTGAGTCTATTGAAGTCTACAGTTACGACGGAAGCACCGGCTTCTTTAAAAAAGAAACGAATCATTGATCAAGGTGTTTTTTTATCGCACGGAGTTCGTCGTTTCAAATGGACCGTACGTGATTTATTATTTCGAGCATACGAACAAAGGTATTCGAAGTTGTATATCCATTTTCATTTATAAACAAACAGTGCGAATTTGTCGACGATTTGAGGGCATTTGTCGAAACGGCCGTCTGGTTTTTCTCGAGTTATTTGACAAAATTGTTTCGGTAAGCCGTAATATTTTCGATTTTATTAGAAAGGATAGAGAAAATTAATTTAGATTAAATTTGCAACATTATTCGGTGCGGGTAGTCCTTAGTAACGTATTGTTGAACACGGGATAAAAAACAGATTGTTAGTCGGAATAAAAAGGATTAGAGCTTAAACTAATAGCTCAAAATAAGTCGGGTCGCGTTTTTTTTTCATCGCATCGCATAAATCATATTTGATATCTGCGTGTGGAACTCATAAAAGTAACAGAACCAATTCAAATCTTTGAAAATGCTTCTGAATCGATATTATTAAAAGGGAATTAAGAAAGGAAGTGTCGTAAATATTTTAATGAATCGATTTTATGTCATTTGGCAATAGGTTTGAAAAGAGAAGATTAACGCTTGCCGCCGATGCTAACTCTGAAGAACTCGGCAAAATCAACACAAGTTCCATTTCAAGTTGCTGAACTTTTTAATTGTGATCGACGGAACTGATCGACCGGTCAAGCTTTGATTACACGAGAAATCCACCGTGATTACATTTGCTTATAAGGAGAGCAACGTGCGTTTGTTTTGATCCATTTTGACTGAAACGCAGCTGGCCGACAGAACTGGGAACCTGAATCGTATTGAAAATGAATGGGCAAAATCAGTCGAGCAACGGGAGCGGCCCGGCACCTCTCACATGCGACTCTCCTCCGCTTACAGAAAATGTTATTATGACAGTCTATCTGGTGGTCATTTTAGTCCTAACAGTCGCCGGTAATTTGCTAGTAATATCGGTGGTTATAGCGTATCAGCGTCTACAGCAAGTGACGAATTACTTCATCGTATCACTGGCCGTCTCTGATTTGCTTATAGCGGCCCTGACGCTTCCCTTGACCATCAACGCAACGATCCACAACGAAATATGGTGCCTGAACCTGTCCACGTGTGGAGTGTGGCTGGTCGTCGATGCATTGGTTAGCTGTGCCTCCATATGCAATCTGGCAGCCATATCCATTGATCGACTGATCGCTATCACGTCCCCGTTCAGATATCGCGAAATCGTGACGCGGAATCGTGCGTTCATAGTCTTGGGTGTCATCTGGGCATATGCCCTTGTTTGGGGTTGTCTGGCACTGTTGAATTGGCAAGATACGGACAAACCTGGGATTGCCTACACTTTGAACGGCCAACCAGCGACTTGCCAAAGAACGGAGCCTATTTACTACACAGTCGCCGCAGCCATGTCGTTCTTTGTGCCACTTTTGATCGTGCTGACCGCGTATTCAATAATCCTCAAAGTTGCAATCACCCAAGCGAAAGCTGTGGCCGCTTTGGACCTAAATCGTGACCGTAGAAAGAAAACGAATTTCTTTCGCGAAGTCAAAGCCACCAAAACGGTTGCTTTGGTAATCGGCGCGTTCGTGATATCGTGGCTGCCTGTGTTTATTTTACTAATGCTGGCTCTTTGGGATCAAGAAGGGGTGAAAAAATTCGATCAGAAACACCCAAAGATTCGCAAGGGCATCTTTTTTACCTTCCTCAGAGTTCTACCTCCTCTCAACGCATGCATCAATCCGATCATCTACGCCGTTTTCAATTCTCACTTCCGCTCGGCGTTCCTGAAGTTCCTACGTTGTCCCCAGCGGACACAGAATGATGATACCCACAGTATGCACACTACCCACACAACCACCCAGAGGACCTCCTACAGCACTATGGTGCCTGAGAAGTCGGAGACTGGGAACAACAATACCGATGGGTGATGATGCAGCGACGTGTCTTCCATCACAAAGGTGGTCCAGCAATAGTTATCATGTACTTGTTGGATGACCCATGGACTTGCTCGCATTTTTTGACGGTTAACGATACGAAATTGAACAAAAATTGTGGTTAAGACGATGTGACCGATAATGTAAATTTAAATGTTCGTTAAGAGGGAAATATTGTTTAACGCTTTGCGTAGCGTTGTAAGGAATAGAATAGATTATCCATTTGTGGGTATTAGTCCGGGAATTAGATTGGTTTAAATCCATAGTGAAAAATTTACGCTGCGTGTGAAAGATTGAAGTCCTGGGGCGCTGTACGAAAGCTAGATAGCGCTATCCAGCTGATTATGGTTTGACGTTTTTAATTGAATAATTTTTATTCATTTTTGGGTCGTTATCTGTAAATTTATTAACCTTTCAGTTAAGAAATACAAAACAAAATAAAATTCGAAGATTAACAGTCTTGAAATAAAAAATATAGGTTGAAACAAGACAAAGAATGAGTTCGTGATATCTTGTCGATTTTACGTTGATGTTAGTTCTGATGATGATTTTAGTTATTGATGCTAGTCTGATGATGATTTTGCAACAAAATCGAAATATCACGAACTCATTATTTGTCTTGTTTTAACTTATATTTTGGATTTCAAGATGACAATCTTCGGATTATGTTTTGTTTTGTATTTCTTGAAATTGTCGGCTGGTATTGTTTTTATTAAAGCGGCATTACGGTGGATAGCGCTCTCCAGGTTTTGTACAACAGCCTCAAAATAAGATACGATAAAGAACTGTAAATTCATGTATTTTATGTATATTAGTATTAGTCGTGCAAAAAAACAGCAAGACTCTAGTTTTAAACTATATGACTACATGTATCAAATTGTATACATTAAGGTATTATAAAAAAATCAGGCCAGTAAACTTCTACTTTGTTAATACCATTTTGCTACCAACGTCCAGATTAAGATTTCAAGGAAGGCTTAATTGTTTGAATTTTTCAAGCAAGAAGTCATGAATCACTCTAAGCTTTTAATTTTCGATGTATCACAATTGCATGAAGGGCAATTTTCACACTTTTTGATCAATTGTTTCACGACGTGCGTTAGTCGGAGTAACAAATAATCGGGCTACACCTTTTTGCAATTTCTTCTAAATGTGTGTCCCTGACCGATTGTGGGAATCCTGTGCAATTTATGGATAATTTGAAAGATTGTTTCTTAATTTTTAGGACTTTCCAATTTTTCGAACCCCGGCCGCCTTTTTAACGATCGGCTCTTTTCGTCTCGGGTATTTTACTAATAATTGCATTCGTGGGAGGAATGAGAAACACCTGATGTCAATACCGTTTGATTAAAACTTTGATTGAATATAGAACTTTAATTATTCTTCAGAATTCAATTAGGCATCCCTAAAACAGTTTGAACTGTGTGATACAATTTGCTCTTCCCCGTCCGAAGCCAACCAAGTGAACCAACTATTTTCACCGCTCAATTGAATATATTGTTGAGATATTTATGAACAATTTAGTCAACAAATCTGTTCGAGATCATTCATATTCCACAAATATCCTTAAAACTTCGCAAGAGTTTCCAGCTTCTTTTCAGTAATCTATCAAATCAATGCTGCAGTTAGACCCGGCTTTATATAGTATTTGGTATATATATGAGTACACATTATGCTTTACAGCCATGTATATATAGCCATGTATTTAGACTACATTGAGGAAACTGAACAGCACCTTGCGACTGCCTGAGATAAATATACTTCGCCTGCCGCAGGCTTGTTTTGTGCGACATGTTTTTAATTGTATAATTTCATAACAGCGAAGCCGAAGATCCAAATCTTACGTCATGCAGATGTGAAATTTACGACATTCTGTATTTACGGTCATTATTCCTATGCCACTGACAAAATACGCTAACACTTTGTGGATGTCATTCGGTGGTTTTGAGAGAAAGAAATACATGACTTGATAATTACGTAATGCCAACCTTTAAATTAATTTCTTGAGACCAAAACGCAATTTCAATGAACAGGCGGTGGTTAACAAAAAAATACCAACCAACCATTCTGGTTGCCCTGCAAGTTTAACCGCTTGTGTTTTTACGTTCCAGGAAAACCTGTGCTTTTTGATCAGACCAATAGAGATTACTCAAAATTAATCAGACAATACAACTATAATGAAAAAGGAAATATGCAAAATGCAAAAGCATAAATGTTCCCGGCAACAAGTGCTATAGAAACTCTGCATCGTTTTCTTGCATGCGAAGCAGGCTAGAATAATACACGGCCCATATGCATATCAAATAATACAAAGGTCTTGGTAAGATGCATCTTAAACTGACTTGTGCATGTTTATAGAGCATAGTATGCTTGTGTGCAAACTATTACCGACTCTTTGAAACGGAATGATTGAAGTTTTCAATGTATTTTCAGCCATTGCTTGGCAGAATAATGTAAAAGTCAGTTCAACATCTTCGATCATGTCATCAGTGCATGTCTGTGCATGTGCATGTGTCTTTGTCAGATCATCACCAGAGTACTAAATGCTATAGCCAGTGGGCTTAGCAATCTTTCCAAGATGCAAAATTTTTCTGAACAGATTAAGAAATGAATCTTTAGGAAAATATGTTTTTGACTTTTCTTGATCAAATATTTGAACAGCCGTTACACAATGCTTCTCAGGGTGAGAATTTGCCCGAATGGCATTTGAAAAATCGTAAAATATTTCACGTTTTAGCAGCTGATAAAATATATTTACTGATAAATTGCCCACCCACAAATTCTGCTTGTATTCATTGGCGTTTTGAAAAGCAAATGTTTGCATCAAATGCAGCCACAATTCTCTCGGAGAGACAATGAATGTCGGAGTTATCTTGTGCAGTAATGAATAAATGATTATTTCCACACAATTAACTGTAAATATCAGTTTGGGCTCAATTTGGACACGAGACTGTCTAATAATGGATCATTTATTCATACGGAGCTATTCCGAACTGCTAATTGGGAAAAGAGTAGCACCCCAACTCGGCACGAAGTCGTTCCTTCCTTGTGAATGCATGTGAAAGCAAAGGAAACGTAGACGAAAGAAAATAAGAACTGACTTGTATTTCGCAGAATAGGCAGTCTTCATCCTTATTCCATTGCAATCGGACTCAGGTTGTATCAATCAGTGTTTCACCTGCAACAATTTTAGCCCAATAGTTAACTTTTTGTATCTTACTGAAAGGTTGCCCCCAATCTTGCCTTCAGACGAGTGAGACGACCGACATCACTTCAAACATGCACAAGTTGTCTATAATATTATAAATGGAACCACACTTTTAGGTTTTGAAATTGGCTTCGGTTTGATTTGCCGATGCTTAGAATAATGTTGCAAATGCACCGTGTAATATTACCCTAATTGAAGACGGTTTACCAAGCAACATTTGAGTATAGCGTCTGAAATAACCCACTGTATGGTGGATATCTGCATGGCCCTTGTCTAGTGAGAATATTGCAAGAGAAATCCAGGCATGACAGGTTCAGCGGAAAAGGTTTTTATCGAGAAACAATCGACTTGCGTGGGATAAAATTACATGTCCTATCTTGTCCTTCTATATTTAGGGACCGCCTGCCATGCAGGCTATCCTTGAATAGGATGAAATAATTTTGATCAAGTCTTGATGAGTTCCGCATACATTCACGAGGTAAATAGCATGCAGGTACTCAAATCTATCATGTGACTTAAAGTGGAGCAGTGTTATAGAGATAGAGAAGTTAAGAGAAGCTGCGAATTGAAAATGTCTTCATTACATACAGCCAAACAATGTAATCGTCCTAAGTCCTAACCCACGCTAATATACCGATGCACCTACCCCTCCCACGCACTGATTCTTTCAGCCTAATGACAAAGAGGAGGTTATGACAACCTTAATAATGTCCAGAGCAAAAAACAACGCATTTTTAGTTTACCTCAATCTCGTCTACACAATATTAACAGATTCATTACCACGACATGAATTGACGTGGGTGAATTATGACAAGCCTAATAACGCTTAATCCACGAAACAAGAACGCCAGACTAGACTTTTATCAACAACAGACTTGTGGTGCCAAAGATGTCACTTTGGATTACTTTTGACGTTTTTCAACAACAAAGCAATAACGTTTAGGCTTTTATAATATCAAGGAGATATTGTATAGGAAGCCTACCTGTTAACCTGTTTCATCAGCTGAACAGTACTGCGACGTTTGTAGGTTGTATATGCATGTTGCCGTATGTAGCATAGCCGTTTAATGCTACACAAATTGTTCAGAACTAAAATAGGCTTCTATTTTTGTATTTAGATATGACGGCAAACAAACATTACACTTGCATCGCCATCGAACCAAATTCGGTTTTTATTGAAGTGAAATTTTCCTGAGTTTCTCCATCAAGCCTTATTTGAAACGAGGCATGTCAAACACAATATTCTTTCTACAACTCGATATAAACCATGCATTGTGTAAACATTGTGCATGCATGAAACAGAATTTTGTTTTCTGACAACATCGAGTCTGTTTCAGTGAAGGAAGTATAAGGTGGCATTACTCAATGTAATAAAAAGAAGAAATCTTCGTTTCACTACTGGGTAAAATACTTCTGAAATACACTGAATTACAGTACAGAATAAACACGGTATATCAGGGACGGTTGTATCAAGCCCGTTTTGCTTAAACGGTAGTTAAGTTCAAAATTGAAAGCAAGTCTATCAGTTTATTCAACAAGCAAACTAAATGTTTTGAACCTTAATACAGCGATACTGTTCACACTAGATGATAACTGCATAATATTCAAGTTGACTCACTCAAGAGAGATGTAGGAGTGTTATTTAATTTTGACTTATCCACCGTTTAAGATAAACGGGCTTGATACAACCGGCCCCAGAAGTACAGCAACGAGATTATTGCATTTAACAAAACCGCACAGAAAAAAGAAGGAAGAGAACAGAAAGATTCATATGCTGCAGTATGTTCTTTATTCTGTGTTCGTTAGAATCTCTGAGCCTGCGATCCTATACTGGTACCCAGGGCGCTGGTCTTGTTACGTTGTGAGTGGAAAGATACAAAACGTCGAAAACTTAAAAGAACTTAAATTGCTATCGCTGTTATATAAACAAGTTTTTTATATCCTTATTAAAATAAACGAAACTCGCTTATCTTTGTAAACTGTTTTGTTTGTCTCTGCAAACAGTTGGAAATTGGAAAAGTGAGCGGTTTTGTTTTTTATTTATTTGTTTAACAGATTGAAATATTTTAATCCCACATAAAAGCGTTTTGCTATCTTGTTTCGGGATCTTTCCAATATTCCTTCGATCAAAATTATTCTGCATAATCCTTCCATTCGGGAATACCTTCATTGCCTTGTTCTTCACTGTGGCACAAGGCGAGTTTTCAATAATCCTCACCGCTGGATGCTAAAGCTAGCATTCGCTATCAAACGAAAAAAGTTTGGGAAACATTTGTTCGCCCCTATTTGTTTGACAGTTTCGATAGAAGCCATACCAGGATATCACTTAACAGTTCAACTAATGGCTTACAATTCGATAAGCCATCCTGCTTGTGAATACACCCAACTGATCCATCTCATGTGTTCAGAAGGAGACAAAGGTTAAGATACTTATAGCAAAGCTAGGCTAAATTCGAATTCAGATATCTACACCTTGAAAGAACCTGCATGTGATGTTCCACCCCAGTATACGTTGGGTCTAATCAGTCAAATACATCAGCGATCTGTTTGGAAAAAGTAAAACCAAAAATAAGATTCTTGATCTCAAACGTGTGGCCACTGTCGACCGTTTCTTCAAAGGTAAGATGTAACTTAAAATTACAAGGGCATTCTACAGTCAATAGCTCAGTCGACGTTATAAAACTATTTTAAGCTACTTAT